AAGCTATACGATTAACTAGAGCATTTTTATAAAAATAGCGCCGTATCAAGGAACGATCTCGTTCAAAATCGCAAAACGGTTAAGTCGCAAAAACAGGCTCGGAAAGTCCTAAAACGCGATAAAAGCCCACTCACGACTTTAAACGAAGTCCAGCTCAAAGATACGACGACGGTTTGTCTATTTACTCGCAGAAAGAAGATAAATGTCAAGCTTTAAGATAAATAGAAGTTTTTCAGAGAAAAAAGGAAAGATCGAGATAAACGGAAGATTTCCGATAGACTAGAATCTGGGCGAAAAAGAAAAGACTAAACCGCCTAGGGAGGGAGTATATAAGAAGAAGATTGGGGACAAGGGCAGAGGAAGAATTCTAGACCTATAAAAACGGCTGTTAGCTTAGGCGAATTTAGGACTTAGGTGGCTAGACTAGCAAGTCGGATCCTTTAAGAACGTTTTGTCATCTAAGTTCCACGATTCTCCTTGTAACAACATTCAATCTCTTTATCAATAATAGCTCTTACACAAATTCTTCATCTATATTCTGTTCATCTTTTCCGTTTTAGTGGTTTCCGCAGAGATCCAGAACCTAGGGAGAATTGGGGTTTTCACTAAGTTTTCATATTTGACAGAAAATTGACAGTGCGAATTTCGGTTCCCACAAATAACTTGATAACAACCTTAACATCATTGGTGGGACTTGCTATAGCCATTTGGAGACATAATCCACAGCTACAAGGATATACTTGTTGCCAAAAGATGATGGAAATGGCCCCATGAAGTCAATACCATATACATCAAACACTTCAACTTTTAAGATTGGGTTTTTAGGCATTTCATTCCTCTTGGTGATCTTACTATTGACATGAAGGAATTACTGAGACAAAATAAGATGACCATTGGTGCGAGAGTGACCATGAAGAGCTTGACCAATGGTCAACCATAAATAAGATGGTTGGTACAAGCGTGACCATAGATTGTTGCGAGTGTGACCATGAAGAGCTTGACCAATGGTCAACCATAACTAAGATGACCATTGGTACAAGCGTGACCATNGACCATATGGTCAACTCCAAATACGATGACCATGATGAAAAGTGACCATATGGGCAAATTCAAATTCTCTACTTCTGCTCTTCCCACGTGCATTTGACCGTTGTGTACCAACTTGTATTATTTTAATTATTTTTATCTTAGGCATACTTGCCTATTTATTTGCTGTAATGCACAATGAGTTATTTTAAGGAAAATAAAATCCTTCCTACACTCTCTCTCTCTCTCCCTTACGGATCTAATATTCTCTCTCTCTTGTTCTTCACACTTATTCTTCACTAAACTTACATGGTATCAGAGCTTGCAAGCTCTTGAGCCTATTCTACTTCCGCAAATCTCTGTTACTCACCCTATACTTCCATTCTCACGGTTTACTTTCTTAAAATCTTTCAAGCTTCACCCTTTGGACCAGTGGTTAATAGACCAACCAAAACAAGAAGAAG